GGCCGTATAAAAACGATAAATTTCAAGAATTATCTCCTCATTACTCGAACTCGCACTTTTGCACGGAGACATGAAGTTTGCACACTTTATCATTCTCGCCGTGACTTTGGCCACGATCCCTATCGCAAACGCCGACCAAATCCCTCTTGCTGCTCGCAGTCCTCACGACGAAATCGACTGGTCTAAATACCAGTATCAGGCCCCCAAAACAAGCGACTCTCGTGGCCCATGCCCCGGGCTTAATACGTATGTGTATTCCCCAGGTTCCCTTCAAGTCGTGACGGCTCATTCAATCCACAGTCTAGCAAACCATGGATTCCTCCCAAGAGATGGTTTAAATGTCACCATTCCGATGGCTCTTCAGGCGTCCTTAGGTACGTTCGGTTTCACTCATATCTCATTCAAGACTCCTACTTACTACCGCACGTAGATGGATTCAACTTTCCCTTTGAAGTATTCATCATCGCGGCTAAAGCCTCAGTGCTGACGTCCAACCTTGTGGACCAGTTTTCTCTGAACGACATTAAGCTGTGCGTCTGCCTTTTCCTGGGATTCACACTCTTCAATGATTAATGTACGTCCTGTCGCAGGCACGGTAATATCGAACATGACACTTCGCTTTCCCGTGTCGATTATGCTCTCGGTGATAACGCCATCTTCGACGAAATTATCTATGCCACACTTGCTTCCAGTAACCCCGGCGTAGATTACTATAACGCCACCTCCGCGGGTCAAGTCCAAAAGGCTCGTTTGGCACATTCCATGGAACATAATCCAAACGTTACGAACACGATCAAGGAATTTGAGATTAGGACTAGGGAGTCGATGTTTTATCTATACGGTCTCGGCGGCGAAGCAAAAACGGGGAAGGTTCCTAAGAAGTGAGTCACTATTCCTTGCAGTCCTATCCGAGTAGGGAGCTAATGGGTCTGGAAAGGTTCGTCGACATATTCTTCCGCGAGGAACGTCTTCCATTGGAAGAAGGATGGAAGAGGCCAGGTCCTTTCCTTGACGAAAACATTGATCCCATCCTTGAAGAGATTGCTAGAGCATCAGAGTGGACGCCGATTGAGGGGCAACGTCCCTGGCTGACACTTCTTCCTGGTGGAACAACGGATCCTGTGAGGGATGGCACAATCTTCTAGATGTCATGAAGACATGTCGAGGACGATGATCGCTTCTTGTCACTGCATGCATGCTTTGATTTTCATGTTCTCGGGGCTTCGATGTTGTTGTAGAGATCAAATTCTTTTTACGCCATTCTAATATAATCAACTTCATATACGCCGACCGGTGATTTCTTGAAGCATGTGGTACGCTATGGTATGTCGGAGAATCCTCTCAAGTGCCAAAGATCTGATAGGAAAAATGGGGAATCGAGTGGGGACCTTCACTTTGATAACGAATGAACCTCCGAAGGATCGGAGACTAACCTTGCTTCCGGACGCGTTACACGCTTGTGATGTGCCCACGCATGTACTCGTTCTATTTATTCCGAGGTTCTACAGTCGTCATAGAGATAGAGAGGGAGTAGATTGAAATGAACGAGGACAGTATCATACATACATAAAGTACATCCAAGCCGTGAGGTAAGTAGACGTTATTCCGAGAAACTCACATCCAAAAGCTTAGGCCTTATCGAGCGCCGGGGCCTCATCATGGAAAGAACCAGAACCTTTCTCCGCAATAGCTTCTCCCTTGTGACCTGCAACAGCAACACGTTCTGTGGCCTCTTCACCATCAAACAAGGCCGCAGTTTCTTCGAGGGTAAGCCCCTTAGTCTCAACGACAACTAAGGTCATAATAGGTCAGTGAAAGTCAAAAACAAAATGGGAGGACTCACATAGATAAACGTAAACCAGTTCGAACACGAGCCAGCAGCAGTACACGACGTAGTACTTCCAGGTAATGGCATCTGAACGGGAATTAGTCAAAGCAGTAGGGGCAAGAAAATGCAGGAATTACTCACCAAGAGCAATTGGATTGACATACTGGTTGAAGATGATTGCGGCGGAGACAGTCAGGTTGAAAACGTTGAAACCCTTTGCACGGATGGCAAATGGCAAGATCTCCACCGTGTACGAGACAATGAGTGGAGAAAAGGCGATACTACACACAAGTTAGAGTATGTCGCTTATGCCATAAGAGGTTACTCACTCATAGGCGGCGAAGAACAAGAACATAAACGCAATAAGGCCATGTCCAGCTTCGGGTCTCTGGGTGATTTCTGACTGGGCGAAACAGATTGTTTGTGCAGTCCAGAACAGAAGCATTCCGACAGCAGAAGTGATGAAAAGAAGACGACGTCCGGCCCTCTCGACGAGGAAGGACGCCAGTAGAGCCCAGCACAAGTTCCAAATCGAGAGAATTCCGTTGATGAGCAACTATATTGATGAATGAGTGGCTAAAGCAGAAAAAAACATAGAAGCCATTACCTGATCAAATCCATCAGTGATACCGATCCTGTCAAGAACTCGGTTCAAAAAGTAGGAAGGAAGTCCATTTCCGGACCACTGCGAGAAGAACGCGATTGCGATGATAATTCTCATACGCTTGAGGTTCCCCTTGGACGTGAACAGGGATTTGTACCCGACATGGGCCGCCACTAATGATATCACATTTTAGCGACATTTCTCCGCAAAGAGTTAGGAAAAGTCGCGTCCTCACCGGTTCTCTCAAACGTGATGGCAGCTTTGATCTCTTCGAATTCATACTTGACTAGGGGATCGTCCCTGAAATGATCGGGAGTCGATATTTGTGGAGAAAGAATAGATAGGTACGCACTCGTTCCCATCGGCATGGTAGTAAGCCAGTGTGCGGAGCGCCTCTTTTTCCCGTCCCTTGCTGACAAGCCATCTCGGGGACTCGGGAGCAAAGAGGAGGAGCGCTACCTAGAAGACCATACTATATTTACTCTCCGTCTGTACCTGAGAGGAGATAGAACGAACCTGGAGCACTGATGGTACACCCTGCAACACTGATGGGATTCGCCAGGACCATGTATTTTGGATCTGGAAGGTCCCGAAGGTAGCCCATGCTGCACTAGAAATTTAAAGCTTTAGTAAGGAAGAGCTAGGAGGCATTGAACTTACACGATAGCTCCAGAATACCAAAGCGAGTTGTAGGCGGAGGTAAGAGCGGCACGGTATGATGGATATGACAGTTCGGTGACGAGTAGTGGGGCAGCGTTGGCTAGAAATAACAACGGTCATCGTGATCTGGTACGACTGGTGATCTACGGAAAGCGCATACCGGCAAAGCTCAGCCCAAACCCTATTAAGAACCTTTGTGGACATGGTAATCGGTACCTATAGAAGGGAAGAGGATGAACTATTCACGCACCGGGCGCCGATGAACATGTTCACAGTTTGTGACGCCGTTTGAAGGGCAGTACCTCCACACATAATGAGGGCTCCGATCATGATACCCATGCGCCGACCAAGTCCATCGGTGACATAGGGTGCAAAGGGATACGCAGCCAGAGAGCCAATGTTCTGGAAAACTCTGCTCAGGACGACTGGCAAGAAATACATAAATATGCTGCACACCTGGATGGCCGTCAACAGCCCAAGCATAGAAGGTCCAGGGAAGTTAAAGTCCTTTTTCCATTGGTCGAGTGATTGTAGACCATTCATCATACTTCCATCGTAACCATTCGTCGAGGACGTGATCAAGCTGTGTGCCCAGAAGAGTGAGAAAAGATTTTCTTTGAAATATGGAAAGACAATCTCACAGCAAGACCAGCCAAGCGTTCAGGATGATTAACCTGTTTGGTGAACGTTAGCAACACTTGGCAGGAGCAGGTGGACCAACAACGCACCTCCTGTTGTTATACCACTTTTTGTTGGGGTCGATGAGATGGGCAAAGCCAGCGTCGGCCCCTCCAGAAATTGCAGCACCACCAGCCATGATGAAAGAGTTCAGCCGAACGAGGGAATACTTCTGCAGTGTATGAGGTTATATATCCTCACACACTCGGGCATTTAACGAGAGATCTGATCGCGATACATTACTCCAGGGCTACGCCGAAGTTGATTCAAACCCCACGGGAAGCTACGGGAAGCCATCGTGGGTTGGGGCAAGGTTCATGGGAGGATAAGTGAGAAAGTGGAGTGTGAGAAATTTTCCTTTTTGGCAAACTCGAGCATCTATATATCCGATTCTTCTCGGACAAACTCTCCTTCTCGTCGGTAAAGTTCGTATTCCAACGATTTATAGGGCTTCTCCTGTAGGTTTTAATTCAGAAACGTTATACAACAGGTCGGATCGATGCAGAGTGCGAAGGATCGTACTCCCGATTCTATTCCATGGTGGAGGCGACACATGTATGCATTAGTATCGATGAGTGATTGTAAAGGAGGTGCGTTGACGAATCGGGGCTGATAAGTGATTCTCTTGAATTTGCCGCGGCCCTTTTCATATAGCCTATGTCCTCTATGGTAAAATCAGAGTCCAGACTAGCACATACTGATTTCACCTGTATTGGAGCACGGTCCCCTGTCGCACCGAGTCCGGATCTTTAGTCACTATGTCAAATCCCAACTTCACAAGACTACGACTCGACTTGCCAAAGTGGCGTCCGTGCGTTCTATAGTCATCGAATCAGGTCACCAACTAGCACCATAAAAACCGGCAACGTCTCACCCAGTAACCAAGAAATTCCGAAACAGGTACCTCTACTCTTCTCCATCCAACCCCGAAGGATCATATCATCAGCTATGATGCATTCAAACGCGACCCGCAGAAAAGTCGGAATATTTTCAACAAGATACGGCGCTCGAGACTACAAGGTTGGTCAATAGGAACATGTAATTGAGAATGAAAACTTACCCCCGCCCCGTTAGGCCTCTCGAGTGTGAATGTTCCAAGCGTCTTGCTCCGCCCAGCGTCCTACCAACGGCCTCCGGTGCCCTTCCGGCCTCCGGGACCGCATCCTCTCTGCCAATTTCACCTTCCACACCTTCAACTACCTGTTCCACGTCTCCTGGGCGACCTCCAACGGGCATTTGGCACAGTGGTAGCGCGCACGCTTCGCACCTTCGCTCAGGAAATGAATGCGTGAGGCCCTGGGTTCAATCCCCAGAATGTCCAAGGTTTTTGGCCCTGGACAGCGCCTAGATCGGTGGCAGAGGTTCGCGAACACTTCAGAGCATAATGGCCCCGGATTCTAAGTGGTATTGACCATCTGGAGTAGAAATAAGGCTTCGGAGGTCATCTAGTGAACGTGTTGGTGCTTGTAGAAAGTCGGTCGACTAGTAGCGGGGAAGTGTAGGGAGATAATGGCGATCTGCAAGATAACGACGAGGTTTCGCTCGAGTCTTCTGACCCCATCATCGGTCTATCCAGCTTCTGGATCCAGGGGTGCAGTGGATTAAGTGAATTTGACCTGTTGGGTATCAGTTGCGCTATTGACAAAAGAGAGATAAAACGCGACCTGCAGCCTATCACAAGCCTATCATACGGAGCCAGAACCTTTATCTGCATCCTGAGCATTGTTTCTGCGCTACATTTGGGACGGACAGCATCCAGGGATGGTTCAGATATGTAGACGACATTCAAACCCGGCGATACGTCGAGTTACCGGCGACCGCATGGTGAGTTTGGCGAGTTGATCTTCCTATTCACCAGGGTGTTAGAACATTTCGTGTCCAGACAATAGAAAAAGGATGGGTATACCTTGCATTACGAAGATAGGTGACGGTAGACGATGATGGGAGGAGAGATTCAGAAGATCAGTACGACGCAAGCGTGACAGTGACCATTAGCACGTGAAACCATCACTACCCGAAGAACGAGATTCAACTGTTACTTACTCTTGACTTCCTCTGAACCGACCGAGCACCCAGCACATTTAGCATTCACTGACCGAGTTCATTCTATGTCATACTATGTAATTAGAGCATTGTTGAAAGAGAGATTAAGTTATTCTAATCGATACTATAGGGCTGTGTGAAACCGATTTGAGACTGGTATATAGTACTGATACATTGTCGATACATTTGAAAGCGAAACATGGTTTAACCTTAGATATAGGCTACAACATTAGTAGCGGGTACCAGACCGAGTAGTACCACTGAGCGCTCGTTTTCATCCCAACCTTACAGTAGTATACGTTTGAGATAGGCAAGAATGCCCGCTTCGCTCTTTGATACTGCACCGATATACTACAAAGAATTAGCCAACCCTCAATAAAGCTAAAATGACACTCACGCCATCTGGTCGAATAACGATCGCAAGTAATTCAGCTTCCTCCACCTTGTAATGCTTATAAGCGAACCCGTCCACATCGACAACGGCCCGATGACCCTTGCTTGAAGCCGATGCCAGGGCGGTACCAGCTGGCAAAACCGATATCCATTTGACCAAGCCAGAAGGACACGACAACTTTTCTGAAGCTTCGATAAACGCACCACCAAAGCCAATCACAGTATGCGATGTGACGTCGAAAAAGTCGAAAAGAGATTTCGTCTGACCATCTTCGAGCATCAGCCCAGGGGCGTCGGGCGCACGGTCACCAGCACGAGCACTCCTGTCGTCCCCAGAACGATATGGATCAACTGGTTCTGTAACATCTGTGCGTCTTTCGTCCATAACGATGGGGCTTCTGCGATAGTTGATACCAAACTGCTTGACTGTCCAATCTCGTTTCCATCCTTCACCCTTGTTTCCCATATTGGAAAACGTTTGATGCATGTACGCGGTCGTCTTACCCAGGATTCCAGCGACTGCAGGTACTCTCTCCGACGAATACGAGTCGAGGAGGCTAGGTGGAGCAAGGCCTTTCTGAACCAGAGCAAGCTTCCAAGCAAGGTTGAACTATCATACCCAGCGGTCAGCGACGCGGAGCTAACGGAAACTCATACAGCGTACCGAATCCTGGACACTGGTGTTAACCCCCTGGGCACCAGTAAAGCTATGGACGTGTGCAGCGTCTGTGTCCCTAGTGAATAACGGGTTGGTTGGGGTTGTAGTGATACTCACCACCACCGAGAAATATCCTGCCTACATTGAACTTGTCCACCATACGAATATTAGACCTGGCATAGGGATTATTCAACGCTCTGACTACCATCATTTAGAATACATACCTCCAAAGTCCATACGATACCAAGGCACCGAACTCGATATCTCGCTTCCCGATGACACCGTACATCACTTCTACCAAACGGTCCCTTTGCTCCTCAATGGCGTGAATGTCGATGTTTGCCCCACCACAGAAAAACCAGTAGTACAGTTTGCCGTTCCTCTTGTAGGGACGCAGAGCCAAACTTTCACCGTTCATTAACATGTTGACGCATGCAACCGGAAAGAGAAGAACGTACGTTTTATCGGTGACGCTACCCCATATCCTCCAGTACTATAGATAGAGCGGGTAATGTCTTTGATAGGCAAAAAGAGGATGAAACTTACGGTATCGTCATTCGTTTTCCGAACCTCAATGTCACCAATTGCATACAAGACATCTGCATTACTATCACCATCAAAGCGAAGTCCAAGGCCCTTGCGAACTGCACTCCGTGCACCATCAGTACCAACAACCCAATCGAATCGGTGGGTCTCTATAGCTCCCAGCTCAGTCTTCGCGAGCTGCACCGTGACATGTTCAGGAGACTGCTCGAATGAAACGAGTTCTGTTGCGAGCTCAACAGAAACACCATATTCGGCCTCGAGGGACTCTCGAAGAACCGCCTGGTGGTCATCTTGAAGAACATCCAATGCGTTAATCTGCACAGGAAATCAGCGTCAATAAACGGTCCAGAGTACGCTCACTCACTCGATAGTATGACGGTTCTGGGTCGGATCGTTCCAGCATATGGAACTCATTGATTGGCTCACCGCCTTCTGGAGAGGTGTATACCCGTATCTTTGGTGGCGCGGGATTCCCGACATGCTCCATCGCTGGAAGGATTCCGGCGATCTTGTACAGTTCCAGCGTACGCGGCTGAAAATACATCAGGGAGCGCATAACAAGAATGAGGCAAAGAGACGAACCATAACGCCAGCCCCTCTAGCACCGATAAAGTGCTTTGTCCTTTTGTCAATGATCCTGACAGAGATCCCGTTCCGCAGAAGCAAAAGTGCAAGTGAGAGTCCTGAAGGGAGCGATAAAGATTCGCTCAGAAAGTATGCCAGAATACACACCTGCTGGTCCTGCTCCAACCTGTTTCCAGACGTAAAGTTAGCAGTGTGGAGGTCACGATAAGTGGAGAATCATACAATTAAAACTGAAGGCATCATGGTCATCACCAAGTAACGATAAAGCGTCATTGGCCTTTATAGTCTTCAAGCATTCGTTTGGATTTGGCATAACAGCGTAAAGTATCCGGCTAATCGGCATGTATAGAAGTGAGTAAGAGACTGTATATGGCGGGATAGCGAAATCTTGACGGGGCGCTGAAATGGAACATAGCCCAAAGGCCCGATTCGGCCGGCTCATGCGTTGCCAGATATGGATTGCCGTGACAAGAACGTCGTCTATGAAGGGATTTCAAGCTGACAATGGTGAGAACCACGTTCTGCCTGCTGACACGTAGAGGCGATAAGGTGGACCAATACAATGCACCTCCAAGACCTCCCACTTGAGCTCCTTTCATATCTCCCGACGCACTTGGATGACATCGAAGACTTTCTTCATGTATCACAAACATGTTCTCGCCTGTACCTCGCCTACGCCCAAACACTCCCCAGTATCATACTACGCCTAGCCGCAGCCTCTTCACTTCCAGTATTCCAACCCCATCCACTGCCTCTGATTGTAGCAACCATTAGAGGTGTTTCCGTGTGGGCACTCGGAAATGAATCCAACACCCAGACACTTCGAATCGCACTGCAAGGCGGCCTCGAAAGTCTCCTTGAGCTGTGCATTCGCCAGGGCGGCTTGACCTTTGATGATATCCGGCGCATCCACGTTGCTAAGCGTACCATCATCGACCCGCTTGCCAGGAAGGTTCGCATCATGAGTGGTGAAGAATACGATGAGGAGCACGAGCTGGCGGATGGCCCCATCATCACGTTCAGCGACGCCGAGCAGGCATCATATCAGCTCATCATTTACGGAGAGCTTTTTGGCAAATGTACCTTGGACGATATGCCACGTTGGTTTAGTGTCGCCGTCAGGTTAGACTTTGTGCGGTGCTGTGTAGCGGGATGGATGAGGACAGAGGATTTGTCAAATCAACTCTGGATGGAAATCGTCCGAGGCCCAACGTTGACAATGTCCGACCACATGTCGCTTCGGAACATCATCTCCGCCCCTCATTGGATTCATCTTTGGACAGCGGTTACTCGATCCATCGGGCCAGACTTTGGGGCACGCTGGAAACAAAAAATGTGGTTTGACATGGTGCAATTGCAGGGATTGGAGGGCATGGAGATGTTGGTCAAGGGTGGCCCAGAGAAATGGCAACAAAAACTTGTCGTTCTGTACGAGAAAGTCGACAAGCTGGAAGAGAGCGATAAACCAGGGAAGCAAAGATACTCGCTTCCTGGAATGCACGGTTCCGATATGTATGTGGACATTTCTGAGGCTCCGGATCTGGAAAATGAATTGCGTGTTTGTATACTGGAGGTTACTGCCGGACACTAGCTGCAAATGCAGAGCTGTTAGCTTTGAGTGAAAATTTGTATAGGACAACATCGCACCAGGTAGAGACTATTGCAAACTCCGTAATACATCCTCAGACATTTCTACGTCGTATAAGTAACTCTTTGCGATGGGGATGGAATTCGGGGTGATGATGGTTTGAGAACAAGGGCCCGTGAGCGCTAACCAGTGTCACGTCAAATTTGACAAGCGCCCGGTTCCGCCTGCCACTGTGATCAGGGAAACTATGTACTGGTCCACCAGGGCATAAAGAACATATTGATAGATTCAGGTCATACATAATCTCGATTCGTGTGGTAGCAGAAATATAGTGAGGATAAACTAGAGCAGTATGCGTTTGAAATAGTCAACCACGCCTGATTTGCTCTTCGAGACTGCACCGATGTACTATTAAGAGTGGAGTCAGGTCATTGTTGATCGAGATCGACGAGTTACAGTGAACACTTACACCATCCGGCCGAATAACAACTACAAGTTTTTCACCCTC